AGATAATATAAGAGAGGAAATTAATAACCGGAGTTTTCTGAACAAGAAGCTACACGAAACCCTTTCATGTATCTTTGGATGTTACTGACAATCCCGATAAAGTACAAGATATTTTTTTAAAGTTGCTAAGTGAATCCTCGGCGCGTGATAATTTGTCTAACCCAGTGGTTTCCAAACTTGATGTTACTAAGCCTCCATTAAAAATATTCAAACATTTGACGCCTCCCCCTCCCCCCACCATATCGCGGAAAGGAAGATTTTTAAAAAATTAAAAACGATCGCGAATAAAAAAGTTTGGCTTACAACATCGATTCTCCAAGTATGGTACATATACCATATGATACATTTAGTTATTTTTGGTGGTACAATTTTTACACAAAATATATTTACATACATTTTGTTTATTCTTATTTATGTGGTACAATATTAAAAGTTTAAGAACCCTCTACATATTTTATTGTTTAATATATATATATTACTAATATAAAATATTTGTGCAGCTAAATTTATCATCTGCCATTTGAAAGTGTGACCAATTTGATGTTTAAAAACTTTTTTACAAAATATAGTTCGTACGACTATATACATCCTTAATCTGTTCCAGATCCTTGTACTTATACTAAATATCATGTATACTGAAAGTTACCCTGTAAAGTGACTTAATATCCAATAATTGATTATAAGGTAATGTGAAAAAGAAAAAAAAATTTTTCGCTTTACCTTATATTAAACATTATTCTATTGGGAAAAAGTGTCAAAAAACGCTGTTCAAATGGAACTAAAATACCTAGGTTGATAACCCTCTGGCCAGATTTTTCTTCTCCCTTTTATAATTTTTAAAGAATTGTCATTTTATTTATATTTTTGGGCAATAATTTATATTTGGTTGTTTGTCAATTTCAATTAGTTTTGCTGTGTATATTATATATTCTGGCCTATACATATTTATTATTTTAGTATTTCGAACACTTATAAACTCTTTTGCTTTTCAGTATCGAATCATTTTTAATAGTGTCTTGTTAAAATATCAAAATTAAACAAATTTTACCTATTTTGTAATATTATCCTGGTAATTGATACCAGAAATTACATCAATATTAATTTTAAAAAGACGTCATTAAACAAAATTAAATATTTAACCATGTCCAATTAAAAATGTAAAAATATTTTGATTGACAAATTATGTATAAATAATATATGTATGATAATATTTCATATGCAATTTCTACTAAAAAATGTTGTTGCATAAGGATTACAGTATAAAAAGAAAGTTATATTTATATTTTATATCAAAATTACATTGTAATTTTATTAAATAATAGTTGAAATATGTCGTGTATTTGAAATAAGAAAAAAGCATTTATCAAAAATAGAAAATCATTTGTTTAAAAATTACGGTGGTAAGGTAGTTGAAATCAATACAGTTTATATATAAATTGCAATGATAACATGTATTAATGTTACAATATATTATTTCGAATAAAAATTGTATTTAAATGATCATAATCTGATGATGTTAACGTGATGTAAGAGGTGAATCTATTCTTGGCCATTTTCTATTTCTGTTATTAACGACCTGCCTTATAGTGTTTCTGGTGGATAGATATAACGTGATTTACTATTGCATGCATAACCTTCGCTTATAATATTAGAAACGTCAATGAAGTGCAGAGCCACATACAAAATGCTCTATAATTGTATCTATCAACGCACTTCACAAAAGGAAATAGGAGTTTTCCACGAAGTTGAAGGAGAATTTGTAATGCTCAGGTTAACACAATATTAAACATTGTATTATTAGTATTTTTTTCAATTGTTATTTAAACATTTGGGTAATGATAAAACAGTAAAACCTCTCTTAACGATCACTTCTCACAACGAGAAATTCGCATAACGAGTGATGAAAGAAGCGAAGTCTGGGATTTTGACAGCTTTCTAGAAAAAATGATTTAGTATGTATCAAAAAGAAATGTATAGCAAAGCTCATTTGCATTACAAAATAATTTAAGATTTTTCAAATGATTTAACACAGAATAAAAGTGATTTTTTAATGTATTTTCTTTAATAATTAATACTGTATACTATTGATGTCAAATTTTCAATAATGAAACATATTTTGTTGATGGAACAGTATTTGAAGATCAATTCTTGAATCATTCATTAATAGAAATGATTATCTTCAAAATCTTTTGAAATCTATACTTTTAAGAATATACATCACAACTGTCGTTGATATTATGTCTATAATTTGTAGTTGTAATTAGTGTGGTGAATTTAAGGAAATATTTGGAGCATTATTTAGCATGTATATAGGTAATAAGGTTCATAATTTATTTAAATAAAAAGGAAATATTCCAACTAAAATATTTATTCTTTTCTTACGCAATATTTACATATTTATACATAATATATATCAATATATAATACGATCCTTATGGAATGATATGTATGTGAAGGCGTGGGCAACAACACACATTTATTATATTTTTTGTCTTTACATTTATTTGAAAATCTAGTAAAAAATAGAGTAATTCGTGCATGTACATATAAGTAACATAAATGTGCGTCCCTGTTTATTTCAATTACCTAAGTTCTTATCAAGTTTTCAAATTCTTTACTCCAAGTATAGGTGAATCCGGTTACAGTTTGAAGCAAAGAACGAATGCATTTATCAATAAACCACAGATATTTTGACTTTTTCATTTTGTAGCGTTGCTATTTTTTCATATAATCATTATTATTATTAATTACGTTATGGATGAACTAGAGATTCGTTAATTATATTTAAAATTAATTAGTTATCATTTTCACTTCGTGGCTTTCGTATATATAAACCACGTAGACATAAATTATTTACCTAATATACAATTAATAACAACAATATAATATATATTTTCTCTATACACGTATAGGTATTATAATTATTAAAAAATAAATAATCATTTTTCCGTTTTAAGCGGAAATTGGTCGGTTCGCGAATAGCTGATCAACAACCGAGCTATCGGCCAACGAGCTAATGTCCCCAATGTCCCTGTCGTTGAGTGCGATTTTCCTCAATATCCTCCTCATGATCTTACCAGAGCGAGTCTTCGGTAGACCCGGAGCACTTTGAATAACGTCTGGTTGAGCGAATGGTCCGATCCTTTCCCTGACAATCTTCTTCAGTTCAGTCACTAATTGTGCATTGAATTCGACTTGACCGTTGGTGGTGATGAAGCAGTACAGGCATTCACCCTTCACGGGGTGCGGTTTCGCCACTACTGCAGCTTCCGAGACGCCGCGATGCTCCGTAAGAACGGACTCCACTTCAGCAGTGGACATCAAATGACCAGAAACATTCAACATGTCATCAACCCTTCCAGTCACCCATAGGTATCCATCGGCATCGCGACGCGCACCTGCAAATTACAATTTCGGCCATTAACTAAATGCCTTTGAAAGAAAAATAAATTTCTGAACGTACCGTCACCAGTGCAGTAATATCCTGGGAATTTCGAGAAGTACGTGGTTTCGTAGCGATCGTGGTTATTGTATAACGATCTCATCATTCCAGGCCACGGGCGAGAGAATACCAAATATCCTTCTCCTTCGCCTTGAATTTCCTTGCCGGATTCATCCAATAAAACTGGCTGTACACCAAAGAATGGGAACGACTACAATAACAAAAAAATACATGCTATTATTACCACATACCAAAGTAAATTAGATTAAATCATATTTAATGTAATGTACATTAGATTGTAATCGAGTTGCGCTTTATTGAAGTATCACTTTTCATGTTACAAAAATAAATGTGTCTAGCTATTTTTTTTTTGTTATAAACTAATCTTAAGTTTATAAATGACGAGATATATTACCGACGATTACATTACATAATTTCATTAAAAAAATCTGTGCGTGTAATCCACTTGAAAATTGGTAGAAATAAGTTCAGCTTACCAAGTACTCTAATCTAGATTAATTTAATAATTTCTGTGACGCATATTCGAAACATATTATATTTGTCGCATTATCTTTTTAATAATATGTTTCATGCGTACTAAATGCATGCAGTTGTTTGACATTGAACAAAATAAAACATGGTAATCTTAGTTATACGGGTGACTATCATTCAAGTTTATAATAATAATATAGTGAAATAGCAAAATTATTATTCTAAAAGTAGTACTCTGCTATTCTGCGATACCAAGAATGGTTGTTGTTAGTCTAGCAGATCGTCTTATTTATATTATAGAACTATGAAATTTATTTTAAAATTATATAATTTTTCATCCAATCGACTACGTCTTAATGAAGCTATAATGCAATTATAAATAGATAAACTTTTCAAGTTCACGTGAACTGCATTTTTGAATTCACTTCTCGGATAAAATATATAACATCATAAATATTATTCAATGTTAACCTATTTTTTTTAGTAGATAAGGAGTGTCTGTAGTGAAGTTAACAAAAATATAAGATTCGATAAGTTGCACGTGGATTAAGTGTTAATACTTACAGCTGCTCCTGGTTTCATGGGTGTCGCACCTGGCAAAGGAGTAAGGACATGACCGCCGGTCTCGGTTTGCCAGAAAGTATCCACGATCGAGCATTTTTCTCCTCCGACCAATTTGTAATACCACATCCAAGCTTCTGGGTTGATTGGTTCTCCTACAGAACCGAGAACTCTCAAGGAGGATAGATCATGCCTGTGAAAATAATATTATATATTTTAAAAGAATTCCCTTTAAATATACCGAGCGCTTGAACTAACCTTGTGACCAAACTGTCCTCGAACTTCATCAACGCTCTGATGGCGGTCGGGGCCGTGTAAAATTGGTTGACCTTGTACTTTTCGACAACACCCCAGAAACGGTCGTTTTGTGGATAGAATGGAGTTCCTTCGTACTATAAATACAATACATTGATATGTTGAATTTAATGGTGTCTATGTTTATTTACCAAAACTGAGGTAGCGGCATTTGCCAGAGGTCCGTACACAACGTATGTGTGACCGGTGATCCAGCCAATATCGGCGGTGCACCAGTAAACGTCATTTGGTTTGTAGTCAAAGACGTATTTGAAGGTAGTAGCGGCATACAAGAGATATCCTCCAGTGGTGTGGAGGACGCCCTTTGGTTTTCCAGTTGAACCGCTGGTGTAAAGCATGAATAAGGGATCCTCGCTTTGCATCCATTCAGGGTAGCAGCTCGTGGAAGCTTGTGGAACGACGTCGTGCCACCAGATATCACGACCATCCTGCATTGGCGTCTGAAAATTGATATCCCTTGCGATAAGCATCATTTCATCGATATTTTCTTTAGTTTTATCAATACCTTATTGCTTTGGTTACTTTGAACACCCGATGGGGCAGTGACCCTTTCCAAGTGCGATACAACGAAGCACACCTCGACGTTGTGTCCGTTCTTCGCGCACTTGTCCATCGCTTGGTCGCAGATACTCTTCAACGCGAGATATTTCTCTCCTCTCCAGACACCATCGGCGGTGATGAGGGCCCGTGCTTGGCAATCAATTATTCGCTCGGAAAATGAGTCGGCAGAAAAACCGGCGAACTGGATTCAACAGAACACAACAATATAACAATGCCTCATTACAATAGTCACGGTTTACATTCAAAGTTGCTGTACGTTGGGACATTTTACTGGAGATGTACTTACCACCAAAGAATGAACTGCTCCGATTCTCGTACACGCCAATATGGCTATGACGGATTCGAGGATCATGGGCATATAAATGGCTACACGATCGCCCCGTTTGATGCCTTTACTCTTAAGCACATTGGCAAATCGACATACTTCCTCCAGGAGCTTCTTGTATGTGAGACGACTGTAGTCATCTGGATGATTTCCTTCCCTACAAAGAAAAACAAAATCCACATTATA